CCTTTATTAGAATGCGAAGAAAAAGGAAAAACGATAACATGATTTAATGAGAAAATCAAACTATTTCACTCGTAGAGTTCCTATGTAGCATCATATGCAAACATATATGAATCTTTCCCAAATTATATAACGTTGGTGAAATAGCGTTAATTTTAAGAATTAACTGGAGTTTATATATATGATAAATTAAAATAAGCTAATATTCAAAACGAAGAAATCTCGTAATAAACGATTGAAATTTAGCCTTCAAACTAAACAGTCGATAAACAATATAAACTAAACCGCTTTTAAGGAAATTTCATTGAAGTAAAGGAAGTTAACCAAGATTTTGTGAAGCAATATCTATCTCTTACGGAATGGTCTTATATCAAACACTATATATGGATGTATGTGCTGTGTCTCTAAAATCGATATAAGTTTATAAGAATAATATAAGATATGGAAAGTTTGTTACCGCCTTTCTCTCTTGCAACGGCAATGGACGATCGAACTAGCATCAAACACACAGCACTAACAAAAGAAAAGAAAAAAAAAAAAAACGCAACAACAACCACACTCGAAAAATTACCGGCTTTGGTTGCTTATATACTCTGAAAGGGTATATCGTAAAAGTAAATACCAACTAATAAGCACATGAATACGTTCGTTGGTATGGTTTCCAAGTCTTATGCCAAAAAAAAAAAAAAAAATATATATATATATATATATAGATATTATATTCAAGTCCTAAGGCTGTAAATTTGTCGCTTTAACAACTGTAAAGTTCGTAGAAAAGAAAAGTAAACTTTGTTGTTGCCTACCATTTTGTACGTTTATCCTGCATTTGCTTACTACAGTCTTACATATATTTAGAGAGAGATAGAACCCAAAGCTCTGGAAGATCGGAAGCAAAACAAAAATTTCGAAACGAAGAAACGGAAAAAAAAAAAAACAAAAACAAAATGAAAGAAAAACTTGAGCGTATGAAAAACTTTTTGTAATCTTGTGGTGTGCAGGTTATTGTTATTGTTGTTGTTGTTGTTGTTGTTGCCGTCGTTGTTCTTTTACTCATATTTCCTAGTTCTTTTATAATATTTTGGCTTGGTTGCCTTCTATAGAAGCGCAGATAACAAATTGTTTGTAGAAATTTTTTTTCCCCCTTTCGTTGGTGATGGTTACGCTGAGATTTTCTGCTCCAATTTACTACTGTGTGCACACAATGTGCACAAAATGATTTTGAGGAGAATGGAAACTTAAAACTAAAAGAAACGAAACAAAAATCAAGTAAAGAAATTTTTTTTGGATGATGCACTTCGAACTCTGAAATTAGGAATCAATAATCTTAAGGTTGGTCACATACATGTATATAGATGCGTTCACTGCATAAATATTTATCGAAATCTAGGGGAAATGAAAGCTAACATTTGTTGATATTGAAAATTTCCTTAACATAAAATTTGTTTTTATTACCATAAACTTTTCTAATGAGGCGAACGCGTGCATCTTATAGAAAACTTTCTTGTCTTGAGGTTATAAATTTCTATAGCCTCGTTAGGATGCATTTAACTTTCTTTTCAGTTAATTATTACCGAAAATCTTTAATCACATTAATGCAACGAGGAAATTTTCATGTTACGCACAAAAGACTTGTTGAAATAATTCACACCTATTAGGAGCTATTCTAACTCAAAATTCATCGATTCAAATAATTTTCCTCAAGCTTTGTGATTTTAAGAGTTGCTACATTCTATAGCCAGGCAGCAAATGGATGGATGGACATAATGACAAGCTTAAAATATGTGTAAAATATAATTTAGCAGAATTGAAAGCTGAAAACTGAACAGTTGTATGTAATCACTTAAAGTGTAAAATGTATACTTGTTACGTCAACACTTTTTATAAGCTTTGGAGTAGAATTTTAAATGTCCACTGACGACCAAGATATATATTTTATTATTTATTTATCTACCTATTTAATATTGCTGGCTGCAAAATTGTTCTTATCTGCTGCCGTAACAATTAGAATTACAAACAAATGGAGAGAAATTAATTGATCATAAAAGAAAATGTATAAATTGACCGGGCTTCGAATCTAATGCCTTGCATGACAAAACAATACTCATATAATTTAATGTTTCTTAAATATCCGGCTATCGACCCAAGGTAGTTTTTTTCGTTTTTTTTTTACATTGCAGGAGCTATCAAGCAGATCTAAGGTTTACAATTTACAATACTGCACGTAAGACACGAAAAGGATTATGCAAAAGGTAATTAGGACCACAGTGCGCGAATCGCAAGGGAACGCACTGCCTAAGTGCCCTACAAGGAACATTAAAAGAAACGCGATCCAACAATTTCGGGGCAGAAATATCACCCTTCGGTAACTTGGCCATAAATAATATGTCCAACATCCAACGCCTTCTTCCGGAATGAACGCAAACAGTAAAAATATCTCTGCAGTATCCTTAACTTGGCACTCACACCATAACTAAATATTCTACGGACGCTCTTTCCATGCACACATGTAAAGAAAGTTCTTAGCTCGCCTTTTAGCGAACCATTTAGTTTCATTAAGAGAAGTTTCACCGCGAACGTTAGACCTGAATTTAGAATCTAAGTTATTAACGCTCGTTACACGCTCCAGAATATAGTTTTGCCTATGACAGCGGTATTTATATACAATTTCCTTAAATTCAACGGCAGGGCATTAGTTGCTAACCGGGCAAAGAAATTATTCAGGACGTTTTGGAGGTAAGGCATAGCAGGAAGCAAGTTGAAAGAATAGTACATTTTTATAACCAAGATACCAAATTATGGAAATTATCTCATAAAGTTCCAGTTCCGTAAGGTGTCCAGTGTAGAATATGTAAGCTGTGTCATATTCCATAGATAATGACTAGGTCCACACAACATATTGAAAAATAATTTCAATCAGACTTGATTTTTGAAAAAAACAAAATAGGTGTTTTTCTTAACTGGTAGTACTGTGACAGACCTCACATCATAAACGTTATTCTGGTGGTCATCTGGTAGTACAGTAACAGACATCACATCATAAACGTCATTAGTGTGTCAGCCGCGCTTGGCTTTGCACGACACAAAAAAAGGTTTTTTCCGATGTACGACCAGGAAACAACCGATCAACCAAGCGAATATGGTGCAAAAAGTGAGCCAAGACCGAATAAAGCGCATGAAAATCTTCCAAAATTTAAAATGATGTTAATAGTTTTCTTCGATTATCATGGTGTTGTGCACTGTGAAATTCCTTTCGCTGGGCGAAACTGTCAACAAGGACTATTGTTCGAGTATCACGCGTCATTTGTGTCAAGCTATTTGCAAAAAGAGCCCGGAGTAGATTAAAAAAAAAATTGAATTTGTCTTATTTTTTGGACGCAGTATTAAGTCTATAAGCGAATATTTCATAATAACTAAGAAAACTTGAAAAAGACATAAATCTTTATTATATCAAACGACTTGGAATTATTTTTTGAATCAATTCCAACTTATCTATCCGCCTGCGTACCGCCTTTTTGCGTATCTTTGTATTCAATACGCAAGCATTTCGAGATATTTTGATGAAATTTGGTCCATTGGCATATTTTGATATAGGAACCAACGCTGCTGAAAATTGATTAAACAATTGAACACTTTCCTTATATAAAAAGCGCTATTTTGGAAAAGTCGTTATATGAAAAAGTTTGACGATTTTTAATATTTCTTAACCTAGCGATGGTGAAAATAGTACTTTTGGAATTTCGATGGGTTTGATGGGCCTGAAACCCTTCCAATGATGTAATGGTTTACTGCGATAACTTTGGAGTATGTCTTTCGGATGCCTCCCCATGTAAAATTTCTAATGGAAAGTAAATCTTTATATGGAAACGAGATCCTGATATAACAGGACGAATATAGGTAAACAATTCTATTGAACGAAGTTATGTGTGTTATACAGCTGTCGACCTTGTCCAACTATAAAATTTTAGCTTATGAAAGATAACTTCCACGTTCTTCCTTTTTTTTGTTCAATTTAATTAATGACACAAACTTTTTTCCCGTTTCTCCATACAGGGTTTCACTACGCAAAAAAAACTTTGATTCCATTGCGTATGCTTTGAGTGAAACCGTGAATAGCTTTCTGAATTCCCTTGCTTTACCTAGTCAGCAAGTCTTGAACGTATTAATGGCGTAATAAAAATTATTGAAAATTGAAAAATAAAAAGGGAAACTAAAAAAGTTTAAGTGGAGTGAAACTTGCACAACAACAATCGATTTAACATTCACCAAATTCATATCATTCATCCTCTGAATCCTCTAAATGGGAGAAAAAAAAAAAAAAAATTATATTTCAAACAATCTAACCATGCAAGAGGATTATTAAAGAGAAGAACTTTCTTTTGCTCTTCTTTTTAGTAGCATCAACAGCAATACCGCAACAAATTATTTACAAATACTATCATTATTATATATACTTATATATGTACATGTGCATTTGTATCTACCTATCTATATATAAGAATAGCAGTCAATGCTCTGCAAGGCACGTGTATAAGCCGAAATGCAATTAGATTTGTTGGTGCGTATATGAATGATAAGCTTTTTCATGTAATGTGTGAAGTGTAACTATTCCTTAAAGTTCTTCTTCCTCTTCCATATAATACTCTATATAATTACTATAAATAAAAAAAAAAAAAAACAAACTCTAATCTAAAAATAATCAAAAAACAAAAAAAAAGATGAAAATTCCCAACACGCTACAAAAACATAACAACTGAACAGGTCGCCTAGTAACCATTCATAAGAAAGAAAAAATAAAAGGGAGAAAAAAGTGAAATACATAAAAATAAAAAAAAAAAGTGCTCTCAGACAACTAATCCAACTAATTGTACAGTAAATGTGTTCACAAAAATAAATCAAAGACTAAGAAAGAAAAAAAAAAAAAAAACATTGATTTATATCTTTTTGTTAACAATCTTAGCAGCAACATGTGTAAGTGAAAAAAATTAATTTTGTCTCTAACTGACCTCTGTTTCGATGATCTTCTCGATATACTCGACTGTACGTAATTGAGGTCGCCCCGTTATGGGACACGGAACCTCTTCCGTACGTCGTACGATCTTTTCGTCAAGTATTTTTTCACGTTCACGTATTATCACTGGACCGTCACTAGATTTTATGGCAATTTTTGGAAAAACAATTCTTTTCGCCTGCTTTAGAAAATAAAATAAATCATAATTAGAGATGAACACATTTTTCTTTCCAAAATTTCATTTTTAAAAACTTGCACGAATTCTAAAATTCAAGTTACTAAATAATTTCACCGACTAACATGCGTTTGCTAAAGGTGCAAAAAACCAAAAATGCAAAAAAAAAGGTTTGATAACCTAGTAGTAGTAGTAGTAGTAGCTATAGGGACTAGACAATCTATAAATCAAAGAAACTGACGGCATTTCTCTTAACTGGCCAGCATTGTGAGAGACTGGCGAAATCGTACATCCAATGCTGACTACTTGCGGCCTTGAACAAGTTAAAGTGAATTCGATCAGTGAAAAACATAAAGCTAAAGATTTCATTATCAGGGTCTTTGAATAAATTATTATTGTAGTGTATTATTATGTGAGCGGGCAATCCACATAGCGGTCTCAAATATCTATTGTATTCGTCTATGCCCCTAAAACCAAGTTATTATTAAGGTCCTCGAATAAATGATTATTGTATTATTATGTGGGCGGGGAATCGACACCGCGATCTCAAATATTTATTGTACTCCCCGATGCCCCTAATCCTTTTTTTATCATGGTCCTCAAATAAATGATCGCTGTTTAATATTACCATGCTGGTGACCAGTACTGCGACCTGAAAGGTCTATTGTAGCCGCCATGCCCCTAACTTCCCCACTTTAGGATTTTTAAGAATCCTTCTTTAATTCGGACCACCAATGTCGGATACATGAGATATGATGGGACTTTCCACCCGCTTCTCGGCAGCTTCTACATGAACCGGTATTCGAGAAACCCATGTTTTCCAGTTGATGACTCAACTGATTGTACACATTAGTTGGCTTTTAACGAAACTTTTCAATAAAACAAGTTTTAATTTGAAGACCTTGAGGATAATAAGATATTTCTCAACAAGATAAGCGATATCCCACGATTAGCACTATGTCATGTGTTTACCTCGCGGACAGGACGTTCACTTTTACAAACCGGCCTTAAAGCAAGTGAAAAAAAAGTAAGATTCGTAGAAGAAGTAATCAGAGGAACGAGGAGTAATGAACGCTCAGCTACACACTAACTGTCATTTGCAATAAGGAAATTTTTTTGGACTATTCAGGTATAGATTGAAATTTACAAATAATTTATACGTCAATCATTCATTCGTTAAAAGATTGTTAATAAATAAATTCTCTCTTGGAAACTGTGAACCCCCACCAGTAGGTCAATAAAGGCTGATTGCAATTATTTTTTATCATAAGCAAAGGGAAGTGTTTGAAACCTTTTCTAACCAAAAGCGATACGTATTGACAATCTTTAGTCATTTGAGGATTGAATTTTAAAAGAAAAAAAAAAACTGTTTTTTAGTGCAGGTCAATTTACACACACACACACACACACACAAGGATTCTTTTAAATTCTCTTTTGCCGAAATATTCCAGGAAAAACGAAACTACGGCACAGGAAGCATCAAATTTTAAATAATCACAAAAAAAGCGAAAAAAGATGAAAGTAATGTGACGACGACAAGAGTAAGCAAACTCTCGTAAGTTCGGTTATTTCTTTTGGTTAGTGCATGTTGTTATGTGGGATTTCTTGTTAAAAAATGTGGAAATATTTAGTAAAGAAAATCATTAAAGGTACTGGCATTTACTACAATAACAGTTAAAGTTTGATTTTTTTATCGAAAAGCAAATTACTTTTGTTTTTAAGAAAACCCAACAATGATTAGTAAAAACATGAAACACATTTCTATTTTTAAAGATTAAACAAAAAAAAAAGTTTGAAAAGAAAATAAATCATGTAAGTAATACCAACCTCCGGTTGAGGAGTATCAGTTAATAAATCATCCGCAATTTTGGTCATGTTTTGTATAACAGCTTGAGCTTCAACGGCGCCCTTTTCCAAAGAACGCAAACGAGCCGCTCGCCACGAGGCACGTTTCTCGGCACTAAATGTTTATAACGGTAAAAAACAAACGAAAAAAAATTAACACGATTTTATGAAATTAAGGAAATTGTTTTAAATGATTGTTTTTGTTTTTTTTTTTTCATTTTTTGTTGTTGCTTTACCTTAAACCCAAAGCTTAAATTAAAAGAAAATCAAGAAGAAAAAAAAGAAAACAAATAAAATAGAAGGGAAAACAGGGAAAAAAATAAGAATATTCGCCTTTAGGCGAATCTTGTACACCCATACTAATGGTCGAAAGCATACCTTTATAAAAATCTAAAATGTTTTCCAAGTTTCGTAATGGGATGCAAGGATAAGCCTTGCACGAAGGAGATGCGATGTGAAAAGCAAACGTTCATCAGTTAACCTTTCGGTAATTCCTGCACCCTTTAACTTCCAGCATTTCTTTAGACAATTCTATGCTTTCTATAAACAAGATTGTTTTTTTTGATGGCCTTTCTATTAATCGGATTGTTCACAATATTTCTCTATGCATATATATATAATATATATTTTCTATGAGATGTTATAGATTTCTTATAGGATGTTCTGAAAAATGCTGGACGTTCGTTAAACTTGTAAAGTATTATCATTGTCTTCAGATATGAAAATGACAGACACGGATCGTACAATAATTTTCTGGAGTATATTTTAAAAGAACACAATGATCCGTGTAAATCTGAGACCAATTGTGAAACCGAGCAAAAGCTCCATACGGTTCTTATATATAATATTGCGATTACGGAGGCTTTCATGAAGCTAGATAGGAGGTTCCAAACATTTTTCAATCTCTCGCCAATTATTTAGGCAATGTCCTTTATAAGTTTAAGACAGGTTAATGGCCTTGAAAAGGCGGGCGAGTTTCGTCACAGTCTCGGGTCAGTAGACCCGTGCCTAATCGGCAAGTATTAGCTATGCCTTTACCTTTGATTGCGATTAAGTCTGATCAAACCATCTCGAGCGAACTTGGAACCCGCAAACGGTTTGGTGCCCGCAGCTCTAATCTACACGATTACGACGGAGCTCTTCGGATTCTATGATTCGAATCGTCGTAAGCGTAAGTGATAGCTTTGCTGAAAATCTTCAGTGTAAATGAAAAAGATTCCGTAAACTTCCCTACATTACGCTTTTGCGATTCTCGAACGCAAGAATTTGATGATTACTTGCTTAACCCTTGCTTGACGTTAAGATTACTGATGACATTATGCTAGCAGTTGTTTTAGGTTTTTTTGTTTATTTTTATTATTATTACTAGTGTTATTGTTAATTTTACCCAGAGAAATAAATTCTAAAACTAAAGTCTTAAACCAAACGAATCTAAAAATATCGGCTTTAGTCAAAACGTTCTAACATTGATCTACTCCCAGTAATACAACATGCTGGTGGACGGGTAAGAGTCAAGTTTACTTGATGATCTTCTGATGCACGACAACGGGCCAGTTATGCATGAACAAGGGTGGCGGTGTCGGCATCTCTTCCCAGGGTTGCTTAGTCAAGGCCTTTGAGTTCACGCTGAAACAAGCTACGCATAGAATTTTCTAAGAACGCCATTTCAAAATTTACTTAACCAAGAAATTTTTAAAAAATCGAAAACGTTTTTCGATTCGTAATAGTAGCAATGAAATAAGTATACCGTTCCACCTTTAGTAATGGGTAGAGGATTACAAGTGAAACGCCTTACCTATTAGGCGAAAGTAGATTTACTTAAAAAAAAAAAGAGTTTTACTAACACCAAAACAAGTAAATCAGAAAGGAAAAAAAAAGAATGTGAAATAAAATGTGTTGCGTGGTGAAAGTGATAACAGAAATAACAATAAGAAAGAGAAGATGATTGCATAAGGATTTGCGTGCCAACGTTATATTTGATGTGGAAATACATAAACATGTACACACATATACAATCGTAAAAAGCTTTCTTTCTATAAAGAAAATAGCAGAAAAAGTTACTACAGAAAATTTTTAAGTATTTTAACAAGCAAAACTTGCAGAATGCTTGCTAATGCTTATGTGGGTGCCTAAAAGTAATAATATTACCTTTGGAGTTTTTTCATTTTTTTTTTCTTTTCTTTGTTGTTATTCTTAATTTAATGAATAATATTTAAAGTAGAGTAGACTTTTACTTATATAAACGCTTTCACTTTTTCAGCGAATATGGCGAAACAATTTGAAAATATAATTTATACATATGACCGTTATATGAAGGGTTTCGCAATTAAACAAATACAATCGATTTACATTTTAAAATAACTTCAGTTTAGCATTTCGCTATGACAAGCTCGCTACCGCGTTGGGATCTTAGGTTACCTAATTAAAGTGCAAAGGGAAATCGAATCGATCCGTTGAACTTGCGACACAACAAAGTGCAAAAGTTAAACATTTTATCTTTAGTGAGGAATAGATAGGTGATAAGAAGATATAAATAGAATAAATTTTATATTAGGAGGAAAAATTTCATGATCTGATGTTGGTTTCCATTAATTTGTTGATTTATTGCTGGAAGGGAACTTGTTTATACGATTAAATAATGCCGAGTAAGGTTTCTTTGTTTTCTAATTGAATATATCCGTTCTTTCTTCAAACAATCATACAAATAATATATTTATATCCGTTCTTTCTTCAAACAATCATACAAATAACATATTTAACTGAGCTTTAATTTCACTGTTTGCGAAAATGTCCGTTGCTTTGAACGGACACGGGGTCAGTAGATGTAGATGTGTAAATAATTGCGAAGCTATTCGAAGTATTTTGTGTTCCACAGCACGTATATATTTAAATGTACAGTTATACATACGTAGATTTCAGTCTTCCATTTTACCTCAATTTTTCTTGTTGTCTTAACAACAAAGAAATTTACTTCTTTGCAATAAGAGAAATTCCTGAGGTTTAAGCGAAAAGTTATTATACCATGTTTTCTTCTTTTTTTTTCTGTTTTTTTCTTTTCATTTTTTTTTTTTTTTTTTTTTTTTTGTTTGTTTATTTTCTGTAAGGGGAAGACAATATAAGTTACATAGCACTCACTTACTTTATCATAGCTTTGCTTTTGATAGCATCTGACTCAGTGATGATGGGAGAGGAAGTAAACTCTTCGGAGAAAGCAACTTGCACGGCGCGTTTCTCACCATTTGCGGTACGCACCGGTATACGACTAGTTGATGCGGTCGTTGGCGTTGATGCCATTAGTGAAGGAACAACATCAATATTACTATCTGATTGTTGCTGCTGTTGCTGTTGCATTTGTAAGAGGACTGGTGGTGGTATTATAACTTTAACTTTCGGTTTTGGTAATAGTGAAGGTTTCTTAACAATAGTCGTCGCCTCTGAGCTGACTTGTGTTGCTTGCGTTGACGATTCTTTAGCTTTTGATGATAATAATACCAAAGGCGGTGACTGCGGCAAGGATGACGTTAACCATGACAACGATGCAATTTCATGTTTAATTTCTTCACTTTCTTTAAGGTCTTTTGTTGTTTGCATTTCCTTAAATTCTGCTGCTTTCATACTTTTTAAACTTTTTGTCTTTTCACTATCCTCAATAGCACCAACAACATTCGATGTAATATTTTTGGCCAAACTTACGGTTCTACTTTTTTTTTTTTTTTTTTTTTTTTTTTTTTTTTTTTTTTTTTTTTTTTGTTGATATGATCGAATAATATGGTTTAACAGTTCAAAGTGTTTGTTTGTGTAAAATGTTTTTTTTTAAATCATATAAAAGTGTATGCGCGTGTATATGTGTGAATGTGTAGAGGTGTAAAAATAAAAAAAAAAAAAATAAAAAAAAATAAATAATTAGAAAAATTTTAACGACTTAAAATCTTAGATTTGCGCTTTCCGTTCCTTTTTTTTTTAGTTCTACTATACATACTTTGATCGATGATGACAATGATTTTTGCGTTGGTTAGTTACTGAGAGTTTATAAGTGAAAGTGTAATCACACACATTCCCATGTGCCGTTCAGTTAATAACATTCAATGGATATGTTTTATATATAATTTTTTACTTTTCATTAATTAAAAACTTGTAAATATATAAGTATGCAGGACGTCCCAAAACATATATAAAGAATGTAGCTTTTGTGAGATGATTTTAAATTTTTTTCTGGCAAAAAGGTGTTTACCCATGCATCGAAGGTAGGACGGGGGCATAATACTGCCCTGCCAATGAAATTATTCTCTATAATATTCTTTCTTTGCCAAGGCGAGTAAATCAAAAAACTTCCTTTCAACCATCCTAGACACTCCTAACATCAAAAATATCTGGCACGTATATTGAATTAGCTGAGTCCATGCGATGTCTTGGAATAACACTTGAGAACAAATTGCATTCTTTTTAGCCTGCGTATGAATCGTATTAACGCAAAAGTTTGTTTGACTTTCTGAAAACTCTACAATCTAAATGTTTACTTAGCATTCAGCATCATTATTTAAACTCGCTTTCACACTCTTTTAATGTCACATATAAATAATTATATTGAAGCGTTTACCGGATGTCTTCTATATAATCTTGCTAAACTAAAATCAGCTATTCATAATATTGCTAGAGTCCGTCTCAGAGTTCGACCTTTCCTATATATTTCTAGTTTAAAGATAACCTGCGCAGATTATCCCTCAAAGTCATAACATTTCAATCCCGCTCACTTCCCCTACAGATGATGTCAATTTGGCATTTCTAACAGGAGTCCCCAAATACTCATTTTCCCTCAAAGAGATCGCAATCGCTGATAAGTCGTTATCGGAACAATCTCTTAAGCAAACATCTATGGGCACATATTGGCAATGGTGTTTCATTCATAAAAGATTTGTATTTTACGGACATTGCTTGACAGATTTAGGAGTTTTATCGTGGAAGTACTCGCACACTGTAAAATATTTGTACTGTGTAACTATGAAAGGACTTGACTTTAATAAGCATTGTAGTTAGGAAATAAATAAATAACCGAATACCTTATTAAGTCATTCGGTATTAGTCTTTTCCAGGATATGTAATTATGCCGTCATTTGTTTTATAATAAAACAAAAATCTCGGTCGCCCGATGAAGACAAATTATTTACCAAAAAAAAAACAATTTGAAAATCCAAAGCATTTTGGAACATCCCTTTTAATGCATATATAAAATAGTTTTTGTATTTTACTTTTCTTATTCTGACACAAACTTACGCATTTACATGTTTCTTCAGCATGAGCATGTATGTATATATATATATATGTAATTTTTCAATTTTTTTAAAATGAAAGCAATAAATGTTTTAAGATGACTGCCACTGACCTGACCATTCTATTTAGGATGTTGTGTTTTTGAGACGCCTAATATGTTATATGCCCCCGAAAGAAAATTATAGATACCTCGTTAAAAAATTAAATATATATTTAGGAAAAATTTTATTTGGTTTCGGCCGAATATTTCAACAATCACCATGGGCAAGACAAAGAATTGAAACTATACGGTACGCTTTGACAAGATTTCCTAAGTAGCTGCACAAACTAGAAGCAATTGTCACGTATTCGGAATTATTTATAAGCGAATCGTATGCAGTTGCGGCGAGCCCTCCTGCACGCCGGTTCAGTTCGTTTTTCTAGACAAGTTTTACGCGACATAGTCTACATTTAATCATCACACAGTGTCTTTGAGACAGTTTTGAACTTTGAACTTAAATTCTTTGATTAAATCATATCAAGACATTTTTTTTTTTATTAAAGAGAAGTATTTCTAAATATCGAATTAATTCTTCTAGTTTTTATAATCGATGTAATGACGTGCCTCATAGGCTCACAGTTCGAAAGAAACCCCGTGTCGTGGAGAAAAAAAGTCCAATTGAGAGCAAAATTTTGCGACAGAAATGCCCTGAGGATTTCCGAAAAGTAACTACATTATCACTGGGAACTAAACTACAACGTTTGCGCGAAGCTTGTAAACAAGCCAACTTTTTCTTATCTTCTGAAGTCTGCCCCTTGACCCAGATATATTTTTTGTTGCTATATAGTTTGTATGGATAAATACGAGAATCTAAATAATAAATATTTTACAGGATTCTCTTAAGTGACTGACAGTCACATCATGGTATGGTTTGTTATAAAAAGCTCTTTTCAAAATAGCACCTTCTAGTTGATGCATCAAATTAATTTTGCTTGCTTGCATTAAAGCACCGCGTTGTAGTTATACACAGGCTGGCAGAGAGTTTATTGCATCGATCAAAGCCATTTACATGCGTTCCATTTAGGCTTAGCGTTTTTCTTTGGGTAGACATCACACGATGCGAAATCAAACAAATGTGGTGAGTGATTGATATTTAAAATACGGTTTTCCGGAAAAAAAAATGAGTTAAATTTTCTGGTAAACTAGCGGTCGTCAGTCAAGGTTTATTCAACGATGCCTGGACAAGTCCGTCGATCAGGTAAATTCTCGTTCAGATTGCGATAAATTACGGTTAGAAGGACATTAATGTTGATTTCTATGAAGAAATTTCATTTCTCAGATGCTTGTCCTCCCTATTGGTCATCATTTAAAGTCATTTAATAAAAGTTTTCCTTACTTGTGGACGCCACTTAGAAAACATGCCCGATATAAGTCATGGAAAAGAACTTTCTCCAACTTAAACAACCACAAATCGGTGGCGCTGTGCGTTATTTTGAAAGAGATTTTAGAAACCTTTTTTGTATATATAAAACATATACAAAAACATTTAATCAAATCTGCTTGCTTGTCTATCTCTTGATACAATCTCGATTACACCTTTTAACGTTTGCCTCCAAAACGTACTGGTGTATATAAATTACATCATGTCATTCTTTGCTAAATCTATTGCATCCCCTTTAGAGAGATATATAAAAAAAAATAAATAAAAAAAAACTCAAAAAAATCTCAAAATTCAAAAACAAGTCACTTAAGCGAAACGCAAATTTGGTTAAAACTAAAAATGCGGAAGTTAAACAAAGAATTAAAGTACGCAGAACCAAAAAAAAACAGAAGGGGATAGAGTAGAAAACGACAACAAAACTGCTAAATTGCGGAGTTTGTTAAAACATCACTTCGTGGAACAATAATAAAATTGAATTTTCAAAGGAATAACTTGAAGCTTGCAAAAAAAAAAAAAAAAAAAAACAAGTCACTTTTTATGGAGAATTAAATAATCTTTTTTTCTTCCTTTTTTTTAACGTCCAAACAAGCAAAGTAACGAGAAACGGAAATAGAATAACATGAAATGCAAGATTTAATACTAGCTTGGCTTCCTTAATAGTAGCATTTCTCCATCGTTGCACTGAATGTGCAATGGATTTTCCGTATATCAAATTGTTACTTGTTTTTGTTTTTTTTTTTTATGACCATCGCCGTAGGAAATGCCGGACAAAGTATATACATACAGTCTGAAAAGATTTAATTGTCTTTATCTGCTATTGAAAGTCCGCGGGAAAGTTTAATAAGAAAGCGGAGTCGAGTAAAAATTCTGTTCCATTACTTTTGTGTTAATGTATTTAACTTATTTGTCCTCCAATGTTCTACGGAGGCATTTTTATCAAGTTTAGCTCTACAGTTTCGCCTTTCAGTGACTTTGTCTAAGTAGTAATAAAAATATTTTGAATTCATATAACTTTGGCAATTACTTGTCTTATAAAATTCCCACATTTTTTCTTCACTTGAAGAGAACAAAGGTATCTTTCGATACTGGTTGCCGTAAAAATTGATTCTTTCCATTTGAACATGCAATGTGCATTTCCTGAAATATGTCTTTTTACTTTCAACTTGGTAAAGGCTGAGCACGTCTATTAATGACATAAACAGTTCGTCAAACTAACCTTTTCAGTCTTAATACTATTTCAAAGTTTGTGGGAAAACCCATTCTTCCGGAGAATAATGGGATTACATTTCCACTTTATCTAACATCTCACAGGGTTCAATTCTGTATTAACCCATTACGTAGCGCTAACGTTTGCAAGAAAAGGTCTTCTGGTAGTGGGAGAAATTCGAAATAATCAGAAACTGGAATCGGAAATCTTGTACACGGGCCTTACGTGAAGTTCACCGAAATGCACAAATATGCGCACAGGGTAGGTAATGCGTAACCTTTTCACGCGGCTATCGTGTATAGACGGCAGTCACTTAGTGCATCAAAACCGCTAATAACGTATATATAAGCAGCAGTCAGTTATGTTTTGTACATTCCAAGCACCCATAGTTAGCAGGGTATTATTCGGATGCGTCGTCGGGCAAGGCCGCAAAATGTGATGCTAATATGTCGTCTCGGAAGCGTTAACTATAAAATTGATTAAAATATGAAGGTTAGTAGTTAGTTCCAAGGCCTTAAACTTCAATACAATTTTCGCTACGGACGATTTTATTAATATAAAACTATGTATATTATATGAAACTTTTGAGAAAATTCATCGTTTCACGCCTTTTGTGCTCTGTGTAATAAAGCTGAAGAAAGAAAGCTAATCCTAAGTCCTAAAAAAAATTGACTTTTAAATCTCCATCGCAGTGAATGATGGTATTGTCAACGATTGCATTACTAATCGGGAACGCATACGCATATATAATGGAGAACTCATATGAATGCAGATGAAGAAACACATCGATTGGAAACGGGGAAC